ATTCAATTAGCATAATAATACAACCCTCAACCATGTGTGGTCTATACGGAATAACCGAAAATCGTCATTAAAAACCCGAAAAACGTCATTAATTCCCCGAAAATCGTAATTTTTTTACCCAAAAATCGTCATTAATTCCCCGAAAATCGTAATTTTTTTCCCCAAAAATCGTCATTAAATCCCCCATTATCGTAATTATCAATTCCCGAATATCGTCATTACAAATACTGAAAATCGTCATTAGAAAACCAAAAATCGTAATTTTAACCTTAAGTTTAGTTTGATTGAGTAAATAAAAAATTTAACAGTTTATGATTTGGATATGTATAATTGTTTGAATATTTCAAAATATGTTTACAACAATAACGCTACTACTCTAATTTATAAAATTTTGTACTCAATTTATAATTGTGTAAGACCATGTATTTGTTCCATCGACTGAGAATGATGATTGTGTGTATGTTGGCTATGGCTATGGCTATGGCTATTGTGGCTGTTATTATGATTATGATTTGAATTTGGATTATGTTGCAGCGATTGACTTTGTTGCGCCGCCGATGTATACGACGTTGATGTTTGTGTAATTTGTTGTGAATGGTTTCGCTCTAGTGATTTGGCTTTTCCTGCTTGATGTGTGTTTGAATATGCTTATTCAAATTACCTTGATTTGAGAAGCTTTTTCCATCGCAAAGTTTGCACCTGTTTGAATGAGAAAGAAGTGTCAAATATTATCTATAAATTTTTAATAAATTTTCCATACTTGTATAATTTCTTTGGTCTATTAACATCGTGCTCCTTTTTGTGTTGGATGAGATTTCGTCTCTTTCCATAAGATTTTGGGCACAAATCACATTTGTATTCCTTTCTCTCTTGCATCGATTGTCGTCTTGACTGTTTTTCTGGTTTTTGTTTCTTCGACTTATGGCTTTGTGGTTTCTTCAACATACCATGGCTTTGTGGTGCTAAAATGTAGAGATTTTTTAAAATAGAAATTTTAAATCAAATTGAGTTTTTGTATAAAAACACCTGGAAATGAACATTGATACGTACTTGCATGTAGCATAAATGGTGCAACTGGTCGAATGTAATAATGGCTGTCGTGATATGGCACAGGGGGCAACTGCATCGACGACATATTGTAGTTGAATTGATGGTGTGAGCCAAAAGTTGGTACAGCCTGTGAACCAACAGCTCCCATAGCTTGAACACCATAGCTTGACATTGCCGGAACACCGAAGTAGTGTTGTTGTGGGTATGGCTGACCTACGAATAAGTTTAAAAAAGAAATAACAATGAAAGAAATGTAACTGCTAAATTTAACAATCTATGTGAAATCGTATAAGAATCTAGATAGGAATAGTATGGGAATAGTATGGGAATAGTATGGGAATTGTATGGCAAGCAATATTGTCATTGATAAGATTCAATTCAGTTTAAGATGAAAGTAGAACGTACCTGCAATACCATAATGTAAATAATTCGCCGGTGCTACTGGTATACCACCAAAATCGAGTTGAGGGTAATATGTTGATGAGTTCACCAATGATGAGTGGTTTTCTTCATCTGACATGTCGTCGTCTTCTGATTCGGTTTCATCTGCATCGATTTCATATGAATAGCTTTTATCTTCATCGCATTCCTCGTCACTGATCACGATGGTTTCTGTGTCATTGTTTCCAATGTATTGGACTTCATTGTCTTTGGTTTGATCCTCAGTCCCACCAGTAACCATCTGTATGCAAACATTTTCACTTTGTTTGTCTGCCCCTTTGATATCAATACCGAATGTCTCGGATAGAATCTCTTTGTACGTTGCACGGGTAAGGACTGTGAGTTTTGTCGCGTAATTGTATGTTCTGCCGCCAAGTGTCATATGTAAAATATATTGTTCGGCATCCTGAAATTAGAAATCGCACAATGATTTTGGATTGTATGTTGGTGTTGTTCAGGTGCTGAACTTAATGAATGAGAATGAGATGTCAGATAAAAATATGTGGGCAATGAAGTTTAGTAAATTACCTGAATCGCAGAAATGAGAGACTGCTTGTATTTTTTGGTATTCAATCCGGTTGGGTGTTCCTTTGTGTACAAAAAACAGTTCAATTGTGACAAATTCATACGCAAGCCACCACCGAACAACTCAACTTCAATGTGGCTCTCTCCCTTGAAATTCACAAATTTTGCTGGCCAATGTGGAAACTTTCCCATTTTGACCCAAAGAACGAAAGAAAAATCGTTCGTTGTGCTCTAAAAAATACGAACACACATTTTATTAACAACATAAACAATCATTTTGATGCTCAAAAGTTAATTCTCTTACCTCTTCCTTTATATTCGCCTGCATGATTTGTCTTTGAAAAACACTTTATTTCTTAAAATATTATGTGCACAACGCTACAGTTTTGGTTTAACAGTTCATTTTGACAGGTTCAACTTCACACTGTATCCATCAACTATATCAACTTCACACTGTTTCAACACAAACTGCCAAGAGATGGCGCCAATTGTTGGCAAAAACCAACTCTGTGTGTTTTTCATGATTTTTATAAAATAAAATAATGTTATTCTTTAATAATTTTCGATTTATTCGGTTATCTGAAATATTATTTTGTACATAAAACCAGTGTACGATTCGGGCATATGTTATGTGCATGATATATATATTCATTTGGCTGTTTTCATAGGAATAGTATGAGAATAGTAGAGGACTATTCCTGGAATAGTGAGAATAGTATGAATTTTTTTTCTGGAATAGTATGAATGAATTTATTTTGTCTTTATTTAAACTCCTCCTTGATGTGAGCACCCGTGTGTTTATTATATAAACAAATAACACAAGCATATTCAAGAATAGATCTTACATTGGTTCATTCTTATTTTCTAATTTTCTTAATTTTTATTTTCGGTAGCTTTCCTTGATAAACCAAATCATTGATGGTTTCAATAATACGGTTTTCGTCTTCCACGCGCATAAATGGTAAATTATTCAAAATGTGTGTGAGACTCCCCTTTCCAGCTTTGAATTCTCTGATCAAATCTTCCTCTTCTTTTTTTGAACCCTGATACATTTTTTTGGCTTGTTCAATGTCATTGTTCTGCACTGGTTTCATGTAAATTTCCCAGCCAGCAGCGATAGTCTTTCTAGTAAAGAGGACATCTCGACCTTCATCGTACAGTTTTTTTTTTTCTGGCTGTGACAAAATAGTGTATGCATTGTGTATTATATTAAATTTTTCTCCAGCTTCAATTTTCATTGCATCCTCTACACGATCCGGATGGTATTTCTTAGCCATATTGAAAAAGGCTCTTTTCACTGTAAATACATTTTTTTCATTGCTTACAATCGTACAACAAATAAAAATTTCTAGTAAAAACCTACCATCTTGAATTTGAGCATCTCTATCGATTTGCAAAATTTCGTATAAGTCTCTTGTTCCAAAGTGCTTCAATGCAGTCATTGTTATACTTTAAACAATTTCCTTTAGTGATTAATATTAAACCCAAGATTCAGAAAATGTTCTACAATTATAAATGAGCTATGAAAACAATGAAAATTGATGACAGCTATCCGAAACTATGTGTCAAATGTATGCGTTGATGTAAGTTCAGTATGATGCGTTTGGTTAGCATGCGTTCACATATCTCTATGCTTTTGACGATTCAAACACTTCATTATCAATAATGTTTTATTTTTTTTTATTTTTTTTTGGCAATAAATTTTATATGAAAATCGGATATGAAGGTTTGAACGAGAATTTAGATCATTGTGCATTGCGGGTGGCCCCAAAATCATCATTAAAAACCCGAAAATCGTCGTCAATAGAGCGTATGCAGACAACGATTAATATCAATGACTGTAAAGATCCTAAATCGATGGTTTTATTGTGGTTTTTACATGGTTATTCATTGTTTTGTTGTTCATTCAAACAAAGATATATCAGCGGGAATTTCCAAAACAAATTCAAGCTCTCGCATCGCTTTTGTGTATCCTTTTTTCTCTAATAGTGGAATGGCTTTCGTGACATCAAATCGATTTAAGGCATTTGCTCGAACAGGATTTCTGAAAAAAAGACAATGAAATAAACAATCATTTGATGCAATAAAAAATTGATACTATTATATTCTTACATTTGGCCTGTACCGAAGAATTCAACGAATATAGTTTGGCTGAGTATATCGATGATACGGGCTGGCCACATTGAATATCCTGGTATGGCACATAATACAACTTCATTGAGTATGTAATCATTGGATGGAGATTCATTTTCAATTTTTTCGGTTAGACATAATTTTTTGGTCTTTGTTTCCCGTTTTCGTTTGCCGGTTTCATTGTGTATGATATTTCCTTTGACTTGGTCGTCTTTATTCTGACTTCTCAATCGGCGCTGTGATTGTTGAAGCTGTGTTCTAATAGCGGTTTCATCATATCTGAGTTGAGCTGAAAAATTCATCGCAGTATTACCGTTATCGTTAATCAGTGATTCATCTGATATTTCATTCAACACGCCAATTCCTTTGGATTTGGCACTGTTTTCGTCATTGTTCTTCTGAATTCGACGTCGCACCGACACAGACGGTTTTCTAACCTCAGTTTCATTGGATTTGGCACGGTTGTCCTCTTTGTTTTCATGATTAGCCGGCTGAATTGGACGACGCAATCGCTTTGGCTGCTTTCTTATGACAGATTCACTGGAACTAGCGCTAACGCCATTTTCTTTAACTTGGTGAGCTTTATTCCGACTTCGCAATCGGCGCGGTGACGGTTGAAGCGGTGTTGTTACAGAGGATTCATCATTGTTCCGTTTTTCACTGTTTTTCTGATTTTTTGATTGCATGCGGCTTCGAGATCTCTGTGGCTTGTTTCTAACAGCAGTTGTTTTCAGCTTATCACTGTTATCATTGTCAACGTCTTTCTCATTTCCTTTTCTGCGCACAGGTCGAGGAATTTCATTCTGTACGATATTTTCTTCAAATGCTTGCATTGCACTGTTATCGTTTTTAGCCTTTTGACTTCGACCTTTTCCTTTTGGCATTTTGCTGTTGAAAATTGAGAACAAACACAAATTAGGTTGTGGCTTTGAATTTTTCATTACTTGGCACATTTAAAAATTTTACTTTTGTGAGTGAACACAATATTTCTGAATACGAAGAACACACATAATATATCACTGTATAAGAACCAAATTACTGTTTTTCATATGGCAAATTATGTACATAAATATTCAATTTACTTGACTTACCTAAATATTCAGATTCAGGAATAATTTCAAATGAAAAATGTTGAGATATTGAAGATCGAATGTTGATATGCCACAAATGTGTTCACTTTTGTTTTAGATTTGACATTTAAATAAATTGGTCTCTATGCGTACAATCCATACAATGAGGTTGAACGCACAGTAACGCATGGAATTGACAGAATGACATCCCGCCAATATTTGTTCACTTTGTTTTTTGAGATATAAAAAGCCGGTCATAGCAATATAATTTATACGGATCTATTTATTAATTTATTACCTTAGCATAAGTTAAATATTCAAATATTTCATCAATGGAAACACGATCTCAGGTGAATAAAACGATGAATATTTATTTTGAACAATGACACGGCAAATAATAATAAACATAAAATTCTTCATTCCAGAGAAAAAAAACGAACGTTGTTAATATTCTTCCAGAGAGTTCAAGCAATGTTATCACATCGAAGCGAAAAAGAAAACCCAATGAAAATAATCTGATTGAGAACAATCCGCCTGAAATAGTATCAGATGCAATAATCAATGATCATAATAATGGAACTGATGCAATGAATAAGGTAAATTTGTGGGAAAAAATTATTTTGAATATTAAAGTAAAACGAGTTTTCTATTACGTCACAGAATAAAAAGAGGGAAGTTTGTGATACTCAACCAAAGAGTTCAGAGAAAGCCACCAAAACGAAGCGACGTAAGCCTAATGAAAATAATTTGATCACTGAAAATTCTAAAACAAATCGACACAATGACTCAGAGCCTAGGTCCAATACCAGCTCAGAGCCTCAAAAGGTATTTTTATATATATGGAATAATTTCTTTTAATAATTTCGTGAAATATTTCATTGAACAGTGTACTAAAAGAGGAGGAATGCGACGTAATTTCAAGAGAATCATCTACGATACTTCTTCAGATAGCGATGGGAACGAAGGAAATCTTGCTGCTCCCAAAAAGGTAATTCATCAATTTATAAGGAGGTTGTTCAAATTGATTTTCATATTTAATTTTTGTTTCAGTCCAAAAAGAAATTAAAACGTACGATTTGCCTCAATGACATCCCAGCTGCAAAGCCGATAAAAAAACTACTGAGCTCGTTCGAAAAGGTGAATTTGAAAGCAATCGACAATGAATTATGCAAAAATCACTTTCAATGCAAATATGTACTCATTTTTCTTATTTCAAATATCGAAGCAGGCAAGCTGTTCCACAGAAAATAATGACACATCCGAAATCGAATTAGATGACAATAAAAATAACCCAAACACCGAATTGGATGCCAATGAAAATTTTACGAAAAATGTTGGGAAGAATCCTGGAATTAATTTATCAATAAATCAAACTGCATCTGATTTGTCCTTTGAAAAAGACAATTCGGAAGGAGACAACAACGATGCCGTTTCATCGAAAAAAAAACTGCAAACTGAGCGGAAGCAAAGGCAAAATTTCGAATGGGTCGAAGAAAGGAGAAGCAACGATTTCGATGAAGCAGTTGATTGGCTACAGGAGCAGGGCTTCAAATGGACCGATGGAAGGATAACAAAAGAAGGGCAAAGTTTTGTTTTTCGATGTGGTGCTATACCCAGAAGCCATAAAACATGGTGTAACCGCCGATATACAGTACTTTTGCCCGCTAATAGCAATGAAGTGATAACAAAGACAAATGGGCTTGATCATAATTGTGATGAGATAATGAAAGACAAAAAACGTCCAGTCAGCGATACAATGATCGAGTTCATTCACGAATTGTATAAATGTGGAACAATGAAGCCAGCGGCTGTATTGAATCATATCAAAAAGGCACGAAAGGATCAGAATTTATTCCAGAATGATGCCGACCCAGACAGAAGACAATTAGAATACATCAAGTCGAAGTTTGTCAATAATCAAGTGAAACCAATAATCAAAGTAGGCGATTTGATCGAATGGTGTCAGCAACAATCTGCCTTTCCGAAGAATAAATCTGAAGCATTTGTTCTGGAATATGAGTCTTCCACAATTAATGATGCTACAATGAGCTTCCGTTTCACAATGAGCACACCAAAGTTACTTGCCATGCTATCGAAGAGACAAACAATATGTATAGATGCAACTTACAAGCTAAACTGGATGGGATTTCCCCTGATAATCATGGGCACTGTGGACAGATGCAAGCGATTTCATCCTTTGATTTATGCATGCAGTTCCCATGAAAGAACGGAAGATTACACTTTTGTGTTCCGCTCTGTCAGAGATGCGATCAAAAAGTATTTGAAAATCAATTTCATTCCAATGACTCTCATCGCAGATGGTGCCGACGCAATCCGCAATGGCTTTTATTCTGTGTTTCCCAATGCCAAACTTGATATAATGTGCTTCGCACATGTACTGCGAAACGTAAGAAAAAGACCTTTTGCTTCGAAAAATAGCAAACCACTTATTGTTGATGACATTAGAAAAATGCAGCTAGCTCAAAACCGAAAAACTTTTAACTCGATGGCGCAACTATTCTGTGGGAAATGGGCAGATTTGGAAGCTAATTTTATAGAGTACTTCGAAAAACAATGGCTTGGGTCTCATTCTAATTGGTTTGAAGGTGCGGCAGACTATACTCCTTCCACAAACAATGCCCTCGAAAGCCATAATGCCGTAATAAAACGGAAAATAACATTCCGTAAACGCCTTCCACTCAATGAATTTCTCATAGCAATGCAAACAATGACATCTGACATTTCAATACAGTTTGAAGAAAATAAAAGAGAGATTGCTGAGGAGCCTAAAATAACGAAAGATTTGTGGATGAAAGTGGCTACAATGCAAATGGAAAATTTCAAATCCTTCAAAGTGAAGGTGAATAACAATGAAAAAGTTGCGTATGTGCTGCCTTCTTCTAAATGTGATCCAATGAACGCCAATGAAAATTTTTTCAGAACTCTCAACAAACGTTCGTGGAAATCATTTGACGAATACATCAGCTTTGGTTTTCAACAATTTTGGACCGTAAACGTAACAATGAAAAATTGGATGATAGATTCTACTTGTAATTGTCCGATATTTTTGAAGCACTATATGTGCAAACATGTAGCAGCCATCGCAGTGAAGCACCAGCTGACCAATCTGCCTGACATAGGAAACCCTGTATTGCTGGCTAAAAAACGTAAGGGAGGTGCTCCCAGTAAATCTAGAAAAGCATTGGAATATCAAGCGTAAATGAATGAAGCACAATGAA